AATCTGAAACCATTGGATTCCACAGTACATTTCAAATGCTCTTAACTTCAGACTTCACCTTCTCCTCTCCCCAACTAAAACTACATCATCAATGAATTACAGACACCAAGGGACCTCATCTTGGATAGGTCTGTAGCGTGTCCATGACTAGTCCAAAAAGGTTAGGTCTTGAGGCAGAATCTTGATGCAAGCTTATAGTGACTTGGAATTTCCATTTACATCTCAAGCAATTTGGAATTACCATTATGTCTCAAAGTCTCATTTGCCCCATCATACACATCTTGAATGATTTGATTCTATAGCACCCACCATAGCACTTTTAGAGGTACCCTATCATAAACTTTTCAAGATCAATAAACACCGGATAAATGTATCTTTTCTTTTCTATGGATTTATTGACAAATTTACTAAGCAAGTAAATGTCTTCCATAGTAGATCTTGTTAGCACGAAGCCAAACTAACTTCCAAAACCTCCTAAATTCCACCTTAATCTTTGTTCAATCACACTACCCTACGATTTTAAAATATGACTTGTGACCTAAATTCCTCTATAATTTGTACAATTTTAAATATCTCCTTCATTCTTATTAAAATGCACCATACCACACTATCTCTCCACCTATTCGGCATCTTTTTATTCTTCTAGATTTCATAAGTACAATTCCACCCCTTTTTTTATAAGTAATCAAATGTTCTATTAATTAAAAGATAATACACAGGAAGTGTATTATACACTTAAACAAGAAATAAACGTCATGAAATTAGGCAACCCATCAATGTGACTAGAAGCTACAGCATTAAACTAATTATAGAATGTCAAATAAAATAATTCTCTAAACTGCTCTAAAGTCTTTATTGATCATCAAAATGACACCCATTTTTTTCTCTCCACACGCACCAACCAATGCAGTCTGGAATAAGGTCCCAAACAAGTTTATTGTCCTTGTCACGAAACTTTCTCCTTCATGCCTTCAACAAATCTTCCATACGTCGTGGCATCACCCAATCCATATGTTGAGAAGCCAAAATATCATTCTACAGCAAACGGGTGCCATCACAACGCAGGAACAAATGGTCAACCGTTTCCCCATCCTTTCTGCACATATGACACCAATTTGTAATATAAAACCCCCTCAATCGAAGATTGTCCGCCGTTAAAACCTGTCCTCTCACTACCGTCCATAGTAAAAAGGCCACCCTTGGAGGCAGTTTACACTTCCATACCTTCTTCCAAGGGAATAAATTCTCCGCAGATACCAATAAGGATTTAAAATAAGTGCTAACTGAGAAAATATCATCCCTTGTCGACATTCACTTGATGCAGTCACTCTCTCCTACCCTGATATGCACTCCATACAAAGAGGTCAATAGCACTGCGTACTCATCCACTTCCCAATCTTGTAGTCCTCCCAAAAATAATGTTCCAACTGATGTTCCCGTTGTGTGTATCTAATACATCATTCACCATAACATATGACATCACGGCAATACGATACGAAGAATGAAATCGCTCCCTTAAGGGTTGATCAGTACACCAACAATCATCCCAAAAGCTAATAGTATTGCCATTCCCCACACCGAAGGTCACTCTATTCCGAAAGTCACTCCACCTTCGTCGAATATACCGCCATAAACTCACCCCGTAGGTACCACGACTCTCAACTGAACACCATCCACCCTCCAAAATGCCATATTTCTCTTCTATAATCTCTCCAGAAACTCTCCCTCTCCACCCCAAACCGCCATAACCACTTACCCAACAAGGCGTTATTAAACAATACAAGGCTCCTCAATCCGAGTCCTCCAACCCTTGTGGGAGAACAAACTGCACCCCAATTTACCAAATGAAATTTCCTCCTCTCCTAACCCTCCCCAAAGGAGCTCCCTTTGGATCCTCCCTAGTCTTTTAGCCACTGTAACATGAATGGGAAATAAAGACAAGAAATAAGTGGGGAGATTCGAGAGAGTAGACTTGATAAGAGTAAGGCGACCTCTCTTTGAAAGGTACATACGCTTCCAACCCGCTAATCTCCTATCCACCCTTTCCACTATACTGTCCCAGATGTGTTTACTTTTGAACCTTGCTCCTAATGGGATCCCAAGTTATGTAGCAGCCATCCTTTCCACATTATTGACCTCTCCAACAGTGATGACTTCAGATTTTCCCAAATTTATCTTCATTCCAGATACGGCTTTGAAGCACAAAAGCAAATGATGCAAGTTCCTAAAGTGCTCAACGTCTGCGTCACAAAAGATCAGAGTATCATCTGCAAATAGCAAATGAGATATCTGCAGTTGACCAATCCTAAAGCCCTTTAACAAACTTTCCCCCACAGCCTTTTCAACCATTTTACTGAATGCCTCGATTACAATAATAAACAGTAATGGAGACAAAGGATCCCCTTGTCGCAATCCCCTACTACTCCGAAAATGACCTTCAAGAGTGCTGTTTACCAGAACTGAAAAAGAGACAGTATAAATACAAAATTGAATCCACTGCCACTACTTGGCCCCGGAACCACATCGCCTGAGCATATACAATGGGAAACCCAGTTCACGTGATCATAGGCCTTTTGAATATCAAGTTTACATAGCATCCTTGGAGCCCCTTGACGTAGTCTTGAATCAATGCATTCATTTGCTATGAGAACGGAGTCCAAGATCTGTTGCCCTTTGACAAAAGCATTCTGATAGTTAGATACCACTTTTCCCAGCACCTCCTTTAATCTATTAGCCAAAACCTTTGCAATAATCTTATACACCCCACTTACTAGAGTAATAGGTCGAAAGTCCTTACTGTCTGTCGCCCCTGATTTTTTTGGGATTAGCACAATAAATGTGGTATTAGAGCTTTTCAAGAATCTACCACACTGAAAAAAGTAAGCAAAAACATCCACAATGTCTGATCGTATTACATCCCAACAAGCCTTGTAGAATGTGAAGGAGAATCCGTCCGGTCCTGGGGCCTTGTCATCATTTATACTGAACACCACCTCCCTAATCTCGTCCTCCCCAAATGGTCTTTCTAACCAACTGACATCCTCCTCAGAAATAGTGGAAAACTCTAGCCCCTCAAGCTCTGGCCTCCAATCAAACTGCTCCTTATAAAGGTTTTGGAAGAAACTCACCATTTGGGTACCAATATCTTGTGGGTCCTCATAAGTTACCCCATCCACAGCATAGAGATACGATTGTTGCGCCTGTTGGAAATGGCCACCCTATGGAAAAACTATGTATCTCTCAACCACTTGACCCTAGATTTCTGGCGCAAAGAAATCTCTTCCATCTCCACCAACCTCTCCAGCTCACCCCTCAATTCTTGACGTCGCTCCCTCTCGTCCCCTCCCAATCCTCGACTTTTCTCCTTCCTATTCAATTCCTCTATTTCTGAGGTGTATTGATTTTTACGCCAGTTAACATCCCCCACCTCCTCCTCATTCCACCTTTTGAGGTCTCCTTTTAAAGCCTTTAATTTTTGGTCCAACACATAACTGGGAGACCCCCTGAACTTGTAAGAGGCCCACCAAGTCCGTACTCGCTCCCCAAAACCGTCCACTTTAAGCCACATCTTTTCAAACCTAAAAGGCCTTCTCCCGCTATATCCCACATCCCCAGATAATGAAATTAGGAAATGATCTGAATACACCCTCCCTAGTCTCCTCAGAGCGACGTCCGGGTACTTAGCCTCCCACTCCACACTAATCAAGAACCGATCTATTCTAGAATGAACAGGTAGTTCTCGATTAGATGACCAAGTAAAATCTCCCCCCATCAAAGGTATATCCACCAACATATTCTCCCTGATAAAATCTGAGAAGTCCTTCATAGCCCCTGTTAGCCTCCCGCCGCTAGACCTTTCAGTAGGAAAGCGGACCACATTAAAGTCACCCCCTATGCACGTTGGGAGGTTCCACCAACCCATCATACCTGTCAATTCATCCCACAATCCGCCTCTACTTTCATCGACAATAGGCCCATAAACTCCTATGAACATCCAACGAAATCTATCCCCAATATTTGTAAATGAAAGGGATAGGGAAAATAGCCCTTCACTAACCTCCTCCAACTGAAAGACTATAGTATACAACATAATTAACACCCCTCCTGAAGACCCCACTGACCATACAAACTGATACCCAATATGCTGTCCCCCTCCCCCCCAATAAGCCACTTACAACAGCCCTCGAAACGGTCTCCAACTTCTATAAGAATACAATATGGTCCAATTGTGATTCTCATCGTCATCCTCTTCTTGAATTCTTCCATCCAAAACTTGAATCTTATAGAAAAAGTAACATTCTTTCCTTTGCTCGAGTTCCAAAAATTCCAATATCCGCAATGCCATTCATTAAATAACTTGTCAAAGTAATTCCTCTCCCTTTTTGTAATCTCATAGCTATGAACCAAGACTCTTTGGTCCTCATCATGAGAAAACCATATGATTTGGCTTTTTATATCCTTTAAATCACCCCAAAATCAATGTCAAATGTCATCATTAGGAAGGAAAAACTTCATTTTGAAGCAGATGTACAATTCTTTATTATCTCAAGCTTTCAATTTAATGTACGCTAGATATCTCGTAGGCTGAAATATTCTGCGAAGAGTAAGAACTAACCAGTTAATTACTTTCAAATCTTATGTTCTTTTAATAGCAGTTTCAAAGAACAAGGCAATGATATGCTAATGGCCTAATATTTCCTCATAAAAGGGATAGAGTTGTGGTTTTCTCATCTTTATGGGCTAAAGCTTGGGGAGTGTTAATAGATTACCTCCGCAGTTGGAACAATTCAATTCTCTGATTTTTCTTTTTCTTTTTCTTTTTCTTTCTTTTAAACGACCTGAGTCCTTGTCTTACTTCTGTAATTATTCTCCCTGTTAATTAAGTTCTTCATTTATTATTAGTACGCATTATACACAAGCACATACATTTGTATATGTGTGTATGTGTGCGCATTCATTAACACTAGATAACCTGATATACAATTCCCATAATCATACAGTCAATTGATGGGACAAGATCTTTCTAAGTTAAGTATCAAAGATCTACAGAACCTTGAGAACCAGCTGGAGACGAGTCTCCGAGGTGTCCGTATGAGAAAGGTTTGAAATTTTAATCTTCTTTAAAATGTGAATCCTTAATTCTGCACATATCAAATAAATTATTGACAATATTTTTCATATCTTTGCAGGACCAAGTTTTAATTTCGGAGATAGAAGAACTGAGTCAAAAGGTCAAACTTAAAAAACTGCACCATCATCTTCCATTATATTTCAAAATGTTCCTTCTAGTAGCTAAATTTCATGATTTTGTTGCAGAGAAACCTCATCCACCAAGAAAATGTGGAACTGTGCAAGAAGTTAAACCTCATTCAACAAGAAAACATGGCATTGTATAATAAGGTAGCAGTGTAAATTAATAAGTTTCCAAATGTTCAGTGAAACAAAGCACTTTATTTGGAGCACTGTTTATAGAAGAACTATAATAGGTTGCTCAGCAGAATGCTTGATGTTCAGGTTTATGGAACTAAGGATGTGACTGGAACAAACAGTAATGCACTTCGTACTAATAGTTTAAGCATCAGAGACGACCCACACGAACCTGTTTGTCTCCAGCTTTGCCAGCCACAACAGCAGAACCTGGAGACACCAATTACATCATTGGGGTAATTGTCTATCCCCCATGATTAAAGTACTTTAAAAAACATAGTTTCAACACTATATTGATTCTACACTTGCTTTGGTGGGAAAAATGCAGCAGGCTAGAAATGCAATAACAAAGAGAGGCAGACTATTCAAAGGTGTGAAGTAATCTGTTAATGGTGAAAGGCACCATTGTTACAGCTTTTCGTTAAATGCTAAAAGTGGTATAAGAACCACAGCTATTCAGGAAAAAATGCTTAATATTTGGCATTGCCCAGTTGCCGAATTCATTATATGAGGTAAATCTAACTAGATACAGCTTTCTAGGTCATTGTGATAATAAATAAAAGAATATGTTTGGCACTGCATGTCTCATATCTTACTGGATGTTCCAATACTTATTTATCTATTTAAACTCCGGGTTTGATTTGATGAGTTTGCTTGGAAGAACTACGTACACAGAAATATACTACTACCAGATACTAGATAAAAATAAATGCCAGTCAAGAGCAATGTCATAACAGAAAATATGATTCAAAAGTGAAGCAATTCATATAGTTTCTAAAGAAATTACCAGTTTCAAAGCATGACAAGAACACATGATATGACAATATAAAGATAATCTGGTGGCCTCGGAAACTTCAATTTTATGAGATTCAGGACACAAGCTGCAAAGTTCGTGAATAGGGCTCATCTGGCACATTGGAAACATTTTATACATTATTTAAGCCATCAATCAAAAGTGTCTATTTCAGATAACATTCACTACATTGAAATTTTTTTGTGAACTATATAAGTAACTGTGGGCCAAAAACAAGTAGGTCTAATTTTTTATTGTTTGGGCGGAAATGGGTTCAATAAAACCATCAGTTAGTTAAACTTGGGAGAGAGGGAAAGAATCTAAAGACTTTGAGAATTTCAAATAAATAGACATTAGCCTAACCTGCAGTAATACTGTAAGAACAAAGCAAAACTAAATTCATAAACGTAATACATTTGTTGTATTCCATTTTGAAAATCGAGTTACATGCTAGTAAGAACAAACTAATTTTGCAAAAATCTAAATGTCAAAGCAATTTGGAGGAGACAGTTGATATGCTGAACTATGATAGAAAACATCAGTTCAGCAGCTTCTCATACAAAAAGCAGGGGAAAAGAAAATGAAAAAAAAATATTGCCTCTGGCAACTTGATCATTAAAATTGATTTCTCCTTAGATAAATGAACAACAATTAACGCATCTAACCAACATTTGCAGTGAGAATACTGCATTTAAAAGTACAGCTTAATAGTGAAGTGTCAAGACCTTAAAGTCCCTTAAGAGAATAGTACTCATTGGTTGCAACATAACCATTCAGATTCACTGTTCCGGGCAGATGCTTCCAACATAATTAAACCCAGAGAAAAAATGAATGGCACAAGAAGATAAGCATCGATCCAAGAAGATAAAGATGTGATTATTTACTCAGATTTAGTAATAATAGTAATTTAAAGACATCAGGATATATTATATTAAAAAAAGAAAAAAAAAAAGAAAAAAAAGAAAAGGAAACTGATAACTGAATAATAATAGGACTAGGATCTTACACAGAAAAAGGATGCAATATGAAGGCAAGTCAGAGCTTGGTCAGCTAGAAACAAGAATGGCAAATATATAGAATGGTCGTAGTTGAATTACAGGAACAATAGTATGATTATCCAGTTGATGGCTCAAGTTCCTTGCTGTGCTGAAAGAGAAGAATGAAACATATATAAGCAGATGGCAATGAGCTTAAATAAAATGAATAAAAGAAAAAGAAATAAACTGATTACTTATTAGGTCATGTTGGAAATTCAAGTGCATATAAGTAAAAAGCATATGTCCATACATCAAAAATTGTTAGAAATATTAATAAACACATGTTTAACATATAAGGTTAAATGGAACAAGGTTAATCAAATTCCTCAGTTACTTAAGGTTTATATTTTCTTATTGAAAAGTAAAAACATCGAAAAAAAGATAATGTAAAAGTATTGTAAATTCAAAAAATGATGACACTTGAGCAGGTAAATTATAGTTATAACTGTCAAAATTCCTCACGAGCTTTGGTTCCTTATAACACTGGAAGTTCTCCTTAATTAATTGAAAAGCTCCAACTCCTTGTGGATTCATAGTTCTAGATTAACTGGACATATAAATAAGGTGGAGAAGTTCTAGCATTATTTTCTTTTAAGTTCTAAAATTATTTGGATGTATTAACTCAAGATAATTTAGGTATCACAAGTAGAGATTTCAAAAGAGATACAACCCGTAAAACACAGAAGAACGACTTACGAGACGTTGATAATCATTTATATGATATATGAACCTAAAATATGTGTTATGGACCAGTACTTTAGCCTAAGTTGACAAAATTAACTCTTATCAATACTTGCCCTTTACAAGTAGTTTGAAGATGTGAAAGAAGGAGAAAACTAATGGAGGCATTCAAGATGATCTTCGCAATTGCAGTTCTAAGATTTCTCCTCTCCATGAACATATACGTAGAGAAAGAAAACATATTATAAAAGAGAAAAGAGGATGAGGTTCATTCAAAAAACAGAAAAACAAGCAACTTCCTTTTCATGGTGCTCCATCAGACATTTGCACCTGATATGAACATATCTCACAAAAATTTCACCATTTATTTACATATAGAAATCTAACAAGTATAATGTTCAAAGTTCATCTATCTAGAAGATGAGCACAGAAAGCTAAAGTTCATCAGAGCTTGCAGGGCTATGATCAGATTCAATGAAAGCGGCTTCAGGAAATTGTGTAACCTAAAAGTTAAAATATGAGAAGCAAATTGAACTGCAAGAATACAAGATTTAAATTTGACTCCATCTTGGGATGATTATTAACAAACACCTCTATATTAGTATGATCATAGTTTTCCTTCTTTATTTATAGATATTTAATGTGAGTAACCATGAAGAGCTTCTTTCTGGTAATTCCAGAACCATGATTACGAATAAGTGACTTCAATTAGCATGTAATCTTCCTCCTTGTTTTAGCATATTTTCATGTTTGCACACCTTATTCTGGGATGAACTTGTTCGAAATCAAATTGGTGATCACTATTTATGTTCAATGTTCTAAAAATAGATAAAACTCTGGCAAGTTGCGAGTTGATGAAGTCCTTTCCAATTGTAATAACAGCAATCAACAATGCTGTGCTTTGCAATCCATGTCATTATGTGCCTGTTTGAAGCTCATTAAAATCACATTTTAATAACAAATAACATTTTGGGATACTATTTTAATATTTAAAAATTCATGGTACAAAGGACATGGGACAGAATGAAGAAAAGAACCAATGACCCATTGAAATTCAATTTTCCCATTTAACCCTCACTTCATGCTAGCACTTATTTTTCAAAGAATAATTGTGGGTTGGGGGGGTGTTTAAATTTTGAATGAAAGAATGAAAAATTAAAGTTCATGATGGATAAGTCAAATACATTTCCTCCTTTCCCAACATATACAAAGAATAAGGTCCCTAAATTTGAAATGGAAATGGGTTTTTGCAATAAATCTCAAACAAGCGCTATATTTCTACAGATGCCCTATGAGTAATTTTGATGAGAAAAAGTGCTGAAATGGCCAAAGACAAAGGATAAAAGTAACCACGTCCATAAAAGTGGTAGCTATCTCTATTTTTTTCTGATGATCATGGGTGTCAGGCCAGCTTAAGAGCACCTCGACTAATTCCACTGGACCCTAAAGTTTACAATGGATATTAACCTCAATGGCCCTGAGAGAACTCGAACAGGTAACACTGGGGAGCAAACTCAAGGCCTGATTAATCAACAATTTAATTATAGAGTTTATTTACATACCCTGGAATAATTCAAAGAAGCTTATACCAAGAGGGAAAAAATTTTCTTGTACTAGAGCCACAGCCCATAGGAATCTACATATCAGGTACATGGCTTGTAATACTAAGCCCCTGTTTGGCCTCCATTAATTTCAATTCCATTACATTCTATTTTTTCTCTCCTATTTTCAACCTCACAATCTTCCATAAAATAATATTATACGTAAATCGAAAAATTTTCCTTCTTTTTTAACCACTCATTTTTCAACAAAAAAAAAAAAAAAAAAAGTATTCCACGCATTTCATTTTCAAAAAATGGGGGCCAAACAGGGGATAAATCCTATATGGGGTATCATATCCTTTCCAACATATGGGCTTCAAAAAGATGTTTTTATTATGGTAAAGATAAATCAAAGTAACTATTCAAGTACCAATGGAAAATATGACAATGCTTCTATTCCACGTTCATCTCTTGTTATTAATGAAGAGTAGCAAGTAGGTTGTATGGAAATAGAAAACGCAAGATGCAACATTGCAATTCTAAAAGAAAAAACAAGTGCAGCACAAAATGTTATTTGAATATTATTTTATGAAAATATATTATAATCACTTACGTAGAACCACCTGATTTAAAAACTCAACCTATTAGATAGGGTTAAATGTATATTATTCAAATATTTTCTTCGGCACGCCAATTCACGTGTAAGCAGATTTTTCTTTCTAATTTTCCATAAAAGCCTAACACATGCACAATTCATTTACATAGGTAATAATTGTAATTCTATACTTGTTTGGGCCATCAAAAGCAGATGTTTGGGAGTGCTTTTATTGAATTTACACTAAATTTTCTTTGTACATTGATTGTTTTAGGAGAAACTCTATATGTTGAATGATTTATGGAGAAAAGGAGCAAAAAGCGAATCAAAATGGACCTAAACCGAACAAACTATAGAAGATGGGGATCAAATTGTTGAGACTGAAAGATACAAGGCCAAAAATACAATTAAGGAAGGGACTTGAGCTGCAAGAACAAGTGAATCCAGGTACCAAGATAAACTTGGGCAAAAGTAGGTGCCTTGCAATCGTGTAGGAAACACCCATATGAACGCAAGGCACGAACTTGTAGATCCTACAAGTACATACACATAAACATGCCCTCGCAAGTTGCCCTACTATACGATTACATTGTTAGTCTCGAAACTTAGAGAAGAGAGCAACATAGAAAGAATACACAAGCACATCATACTTTCAAAATTTGTGGCTCGAGAATTGAAGATTTCAAGCAAGAAGATAGTGATTTACTAAAGAATCCATTGATGAAATTAAAAGGAGACAAAAATTCATTTTCATCCTTCTCTTTGCAATTTAATATTTTGGGTGATTTATACAATTAATTATATGTTTTATATTATTAGCATGATAGGCTAAATACTTGAATCATTAGTTGACGTTTTAATCGAAACTGCGTTTTATTGTCAACTTGTGTCGACTGATTGATGTCAAAGTTTAGATTTTCATTTTAATGAATGATCAACTTTTAAACGTATTTTAGGCTTATCTTGTTTTCAGGAGATTCAATGCAAGTACAACTCATACTTGACAATCAACATAAGGTCCCATATATGTTAGAATTAATTGTCTATATTTTATGCAACATATGAATAATCTGGCTAGTGAATATAATTTCTAAAATAAGTTTAATTTTACTCAAAAGAGATTGTTAGATAAAA